GGATAAAGAGAACATCTGTGAAAACTAAATTTTTAGTGAGATAGACAGTGCCTGAGTATTGTGTTTTGACCTTGGTGCCATTTGGTAAAGTGACAAAGATGGGTTTGATTTGTTTATAAGATGTGAAAAATGATAAAGAATGGGTTATATGATCGGTGGCTCCCGTGTCCACAACCCATAGTTGTGAACTGGATGAACAATGCAAAGAAAAATGGTTACCTGCCGAAGAAGAAAAATTAGAAGCAAGAACAGGTTGAGCAGTAACTTGATTGGTAATGTGCAACGACTTATCAACACCAGAAGGTTGAATTAAGGCAAGTAATTGTTGATATTGCTCTTAAGTAAAAGAAACACCAGGTTCAAGAATCCCTTTCTGCGTGGCAGTATTTTGATGAGATTCATCAGCTCCTTCAGTATCCTCTCCAGAAATGACATTATGAGCAGTAGAGTTTTGATTTCTTGGCTTGTACCCAGGTGGATAACCATGCTTTTTATAGCATGTCTCGATTGTATGTCTTGGTTTGCCACAAAATGTACATAATTTATTATCCCCATTGTGCTGTGATTGATTTGATTTTTTTGATTCGTTGCTTAGAGGAACTTAGTACTTCTTCTCGTATAGTCTTGCTTACAAACACTTTGGATGCACCTAAGACCATTTGTCTCTCTTGCTACACAACCAAAGAAAATACCTTGTTTATGGAAGGAAGCGGTTCCATGAGCATAATTTGGGATTTTATTGTGGCAAATTGATCACCCAAGCCCTTGAGAAATCTGATCACATAATCATTGCTTTGATAAGTCTTGATCTTAGTTAAAGCACCACAAGAACACGGATTTGTGCAAGAACAACAAGGAGTTGGCTTAAGATTCAGTAACTCATCACAGAGAATTTTAAGCTCAGTAAAGTAATCTGTTACATTTCGATCTTCTTGTTTGAAAGTATAGATCTTTTCTTGGAGATCTGAAATTCTGAAAATATCTCCTTGTGAAAACCTTTCCCGAAGATCTTCCCAAACTTCATATGCTTTATCAATCCACAACATGCTGCTAGTTATTAAAGGTGAAAGAGAATGATTAAGCCAAGAAATTACCATTGTATTGCATCTTTCCCAAGCTGAAAACATTGGATCAGTAGTCAAAGGTGCTCGGAGTGTTCCATCAACAAATTTTAGCTTGTTCTTGGAAAGTAAAGCCATTTTCATGGTACTTGCCCTAGAATGATAGTTGGTGCCGTTAAGAACAAGTGTAACCAAGACAACTGCAGGATTTTCATTTGGATGAAGATAATAATGGCTTGACGAATTTTGTGTAGGATCTGAATTTGCCATTGAATTCACCATTGAAATCACAATAGAACAAAGAAGAAGAAGACAAGGAAGCAGAAGCGCTCTAATACCATGAGAAAAAATAGATCTTGGATAAATTCTTTTATTGAACTTATTGAGAAAAACAGAGAAGTTATGGTTTATATACTGAAATCCGTTAGACTCCAGCTCATCAATTTAACAAACTAAAACTAACTTGATGTACAGTGGTAGCGTGCCGAATTCTCCAAATTAATAACCTTCCTAACCTAACTACTGAATTGTATATAGGGTAAGCAAGGGTGGATCCCACAGGGAATGATTCGATTAATTTCTATATTCTAAAACAATAAAAACAACAGAAAAATAAAATAAAACCCTAAACAGTAAACATGACAACAGTAATGAAAGGGGGTTGTAGTCAAGGCAAATTAAAGTAAAACAAAGAAATCTCTAATGGTAGAAAATATCAGGTTAAAAACAACCAGTTCTTGGTTCAAGATCCACCTAAACATGCATTGGACATGAACTAACCATAACACTATTCTATCTCGTTATTATGGAACTACTGACCTTAAGAAACAACAAGCTCTGTTACCCGAATTTTCCCTTAATTGTCACTACTGAAATAAGCTCTCCAAGTAGATCCCAACCCTTGAACAACCTAGAATAAGCTCTCTAAGTTTAATTCAATGGCAGCNGGTGACACACCCCAAGTGAAATAAAGTGATAAATACAAGCGTAGTTACATTATAACCCCTATAATCTTGTTTTGTATTCTTATACGTTATGCCCCTCTTATTTTATGTTTACTACCACTATATTATAACAGTTTTCAAGAAACTTACAACAAAGAGTTAAAAGTGGCCTAATATCCAAATAAAATGATATTTAGGATTGGCCTTGGATTTCTTTCTCCATGGGTCAAATATCTGTCTGTTATTTCAGCCCAAAACCCATTAAATTTCTGGCACACCCCAAAACACACGAAGGTCGTTTTTGTGTTTGTGTTGCTTTCTGATTCTCGCTTTTCTTGTGGTGGTAGTGGAAGATATGTGAAGTCTCTCTTTTACAATATTCTCTATCTTTTTGTTTTCAAGCCATCATATGATTGATATCTCAACCAACCCAGTTCACTCGTTTCTTTACCATCATCTTTATTCACTTATTCCCCATTCCACAGCGTCTCACTGTCACTCATAATTCAGAGACAGACACACAGTCATGGCTTCACCTGATAATCCCAATAACTGGATATTTGATTATGGTTTGTTAGAAGACATTCATGGCGAACTTCCCTCTCTTGACCCCCCTCAGGTTCTTTGGCATTCTTCTTCTTCTGCCTCCCCTGACCCTCCACTTCCTCTCAGGTAATGAAACAGTTAATGGTTTTTGTTCATCATTTTAACATATCAGTATTGTGTACTTAATTTTTTTTAATATTAGTCTCTGTTTGGCATAGTTTATTTGAACATCTTGTTACCAGGATTATGAATTTGTTCTGTGGCTTAAGTAATGAACTTAAATCTTAATGTTTGTTTTCTTGTTTGTTCTAGTCGTTTCAGAGTTGAATAATATATGAAGCTCCATGTTCATATCATTATTTCAAACTTTTTGGATAGGTAAGAAAAATTAAGATGATTAAAGTTTTGACATTAGTAAAATTTAATTTTGGTTTATAAGTGAATAATTAATCTTCAAATGGGTTATGATGGCAGAGTAAAGAAAGTAGTAAATTTCTATAATTTATGTGACATTAGTTATATCCTTCTATTTTGGTTTTGTGTGAAATTCTTTCTTAGAATGAGTAGCTTAGCATAGTTTTTCCAGTTTAATAATATTGGTTGGCTGTGATTGTCTGTAGTTATGGTATATTTTCTTATGGTTTCCTTAGGATGTAGCTCTAGTACTTACTAGCAAGAAGGGGATGTGTTCTAAGCTCAACTATTGCCTGAGACGAAAAAGAAGCAAAGCATTTCTCAATTATTTTTTTCTTGAAGAGGAATTAAAATTTAAGATATTACTTCTGTGGCTTGATACTTTTCTGGACAATTCAATCAATAACTTGGTCTTTACCGTTTGGAGCTAGATCAACTAATAGTTTCCTAAAGACTTTTGTGTTTTGTTGTTTTCCAGTGTGGACTTTGATGATTCCTTTGCCAATTTGGATGCTCTTAAAGAAATTGGTTCCCGTAAAAGGTAGATGCCTATTCATTATCATCCTTCTAGACTCAAGGAAGTATTATTTTACTGCTTTTCCTGTGAAAGCTAAGTAGTCTTCAACACATTTTGTGTATAATTAAATCCTCTTTTCTGTCATAAATTTGATTGTCGTTCATTTTATCATTTTTAACCATATGCTATGTTAGAGTTTTTTTTTCATGTTTTTCTCATGTTCCAAAAGTTTTGTGCTATGATGGTATAACAGGGTGAGGTCTGGATCATGCAGTGCTTTTGGTACCAAAGCATGTAGAGAGAAGATGCGAAGAGATAGGCTAAATGATAGGCATGCTCTGATATTTTTAAATTTCCATTCTCTTTCTCTTTCTCCTGTGTGCTGACTTTGGTGTTATCTCAAGGTTCTTGGAACTTGGTTCTATTCTGGATCCTGGAAGACTGCCAAAAATGGACAAGGCTGTTTTATTGTCTGATGCTGTTCGAATGGTGATTCAATTGCGTGATGAAGCTCGGAAGCTGAAAGATACAATTGACAGTTTGCTGGAGAAGATCAATGAATTAAAGGTGACATTTCATTTAAAGTTCAGTTGCTATCGTCATATTATTGAGTGTTGTCATGACTGCGTCACTAGGTGATGGAATTCATCTTTGTAGGTGCCGTACTTGGAATTTAATTGTTTTAATCACATATATTGTGATTGGGTTGGACTAGTACTATAGGGCCAATTAACACGGGTTATGGAATTAAGGAATTTAACCATGTTTCTATATTTGAATGTTTTGTTTATAATCGTCAAAATTTATTTGGAAAATTTTGTGAGTTTTCATCCAATTTTTGTTGGTTATGTTGAATATGATGTTGTTTCTTAGGCTGAGAAGAATGAGCTTCGTGATGAGAAACAAAGGCTAAAGACTAAGAAAGAGAATCTTGATCGGCAAGTGAAAGCCTTGAGTTCTCAGCCAGGCTTCCTACCACACCCTCCTGCAATACCAGCTCCATTTTCTGCCCCAGGGCAAGTTGTTGGTGGCAAATTGGTGCCTTTTGTTGGCTATCCTGGAGTTTCTATGTGGCAGTTCATGCCACCTGCTGCTGTTGATACTTCACAAGATCATGTTCTCCGCCCACCAGTTGCTTAATAATCTGTCGGTTTATAATTGTTGGGTCTTCCTACTTCAACAGCAGGATACCTTTGTTCATAATGAATCTTGATATGGCTCTTGGCGGTGTTTTCTCATTTATTTTTGATGTTAGTTTGTCCAAGGCTGGGACTTGGAATTGTGAGAGTAAAATATGATCATATATGTTGGGGAATTCTGAACTCTCATTGAGTTCAGATAACAAATTTGGTAATTTTAATTTTCCAATTTTGACCTTTTAAATAGCATGACTTGTTACATTATTATTCAACAAATGATTTATCTTATCATATCCTGCAGCTTTTTACTTTTGCATGAATGGGAGCACATTTGAAAGTGTGAGGGTGGGCTCTCAGAATTGAATCAGATAGTTTTCTCTGGAAGAGGTTCCATCTTCCTACTTTGCCATGCCTTCATTATACAAGCAAAACTTCACATGGTAATCCATAAATTTATAAAGCCTAAAGTACAAAATTGTATCTAACAAGGTAGTTTGAACCCCATATATTTCCCAGATGTGTAATCACTCCAAACATGAAGAGCTCCAAAGCTGGTCATCAAAACTGCACTTAAAGCCATAACTATACCGACTGAAAATACAATCAACGAAGCCCTTCCAAATTTCTGTATAGCTCTCTGTACAACCAGCAATCCGAGAAGTGATCCAACAAAACAAATGATGGCAAAGATGAGGGCCGAGTCTGTGTGCTTCATGCCTAATAGCAAGTACTGGAATGCTGACATCGTAGATGAGAAGAAAACCATGAATGAACAAGTCGCCGCTGTTACCTAAGACAAAATATAATGATAGCTTAGACCGGATTCTGCATAAGAAGATGAATTTCATTGAAAAGCTACAAGCATAAATTACCTCAGGCGGTATCCCAACATGAAGAAGAAGTGGGCTTATAAGCATACCACCTCCAATTCCAAAAAGTCCCCCCAAGATCCCGGCCAATAGTGCCATGAATGGGAAAATAAGCTTGTTTGACGGTCCACTGCTAGTTAAATCTTCTATGTCCTTCTCCTTCACAGATAAGTTAAAATTTTAGATAAGCTTTGCCTTGATGTAAGGTGATCAACAACAAACTTCCTAAGTTATCAGTTATAGCTAATTAAATTGACAACTTCTATTTAGAACCTGATGGTTTGGAACTTTATTTTGGCAGCATTCTTTTCTGCACAGGATCCATGCCGTAGAAACTATAGCAACTGGAATTTGGAGTGAGGAAATAATCCAGTATCCCACTCCACAAGGCTCCATTGTTATAATACCCTGCATGGATTTATGACAGTCACATGCAGTAATTGCTATGGATTAAGAACATGTTCCATACAACTTTTAGAATTCAAGTACAGATACTAAATTATACTCTCAAAAGATTTTTCATATTAGATTTTCATCTAAAAGGGTATGGATTTCTGATCAACAGCTATACTGTCCTAATGCTAAAATATGTTATAGAAAGTTCTGACATAACATTTTATATTGGATTTAATTTGTTGTCTTATAGTAAATGATTCTAATAATATAAAAGTAGGCCTAAGCTTGGCTAATCCCCTGTTTGGAAAGTCCAAATTGGAGTACCTTCCCATGCATATTCCTTTTATCATTTTGTGTTGGTGCAAAGAAACAGACACATGGATTGACTGCAGATTATGAACAATGTATCTCATACATCTGTTAAACTCATTCATGAAACAAATAGATTAAAGTTGAAATTCAGTGAAGAGTAGCAGACTAGACTTTGGAAAATAATTTTTCATGGCAAAGGTTGAAACCACTAAAGTAATAACACCTGTTTCCTTTTGGATATTCTAAAGCTGAGAATCCTAAGGATGAATTGGTCATGTGGGGTTAGAGAAAAACAAGATTCTCGTGCTAGGCCCTCTTATTTTCTCAATATAAAGTGCCTTAAATTAGCTTTAGGACACACTCATAAAAGGAGATGTGGATACAATGGGGCCATTAAGGAAGCTTGGCAAGATTCCAGGTAACGATTTTGTTCAAATTCAAAGTGTTAAGCAGAAAGAACATTAAACAACATAAGTTTCAGCCTTTTCAGTACTTAGGTAAGTTTTGAAAAATTTTAACTGGGAAAGTTATATTAAATTGAAAAAAGAAATCATACCTGTCCATAACGATTGCCACGAAGAAGATAGAGAACAAAGAAAGAAAACCAAATCATAACCAGGACACCAAGTTTCATCCATGGAAACTTCAATTGGTTGTTAATTTCTTCCTTTTTCAACAAAGGTTCTTCGCTGGTTCCATCATAACTCTCATCCTTCAACGTCACGTATCGATTCACACTTTCCGATTCAGATTTCCAATGCAACAATCCATTTCTACAAGTCTTAAAAGTAGACCAAGCAAGGAACACAGCAAACAAAATAGTAACCAGCCACTCTGGGAAAACTCGATTGCTAATCACTCCAATACTCACTCCAAGTAACATGCATGGCTCTGATAAAAGTGCTATATCATAATCAGTTAGAATCTTACCACCAAATTTTGAACTTGTAGTTAACATATTGTACATAACGTTTGCAATTGAACCACCAGTGACCATAAAAGCTGAGAAACTAGTGGCAGTTTTAAGTTCTAAACCAGCCACTACAGTTAATATTGGTATAAAAAGCCCCCCGCCACCAATCCCTCCTGCACTTGATATAGAAGAAGCTATGAAGCATAAAAGTCCTGCAATCACAGTTGATGCTGTAACTTTCAGTTCGGAATCTTGATGATGACTCCATTGTTGAATTTTGTTCAGAAAGTGATTAACTTGAAGGGTATCTTCAGGTTGCGTTTCTTTTGCATAGGATAGGCTTAATGTGACACAGATGCCAAGAAAAAGTGTGAGGCATGGAAAGAAATTGTCAGTTTTGGTTTTACAGGAACTCATGGCTAAAAAAAACAAACTGGGATTGAGTTGTGGGTGGTGCTGTGAATCACAAGACAGGTTGTTTTACAGAAAAAAAACTTTTATTTGATGGTGAAGGATGGCAGAAATTAATAGGTGAAAGAAGCAAAAGAAGGGACCATTAACTAAAGCTGTCCTTAGCGTAGAAGGATTGAAATAGCGATGTGCTTATATAAATCATCGATACGTTCCATTTGAATGAATTTGTCGCTTGTTTAAAAGTTAATTAATCAGTTAATGAACATCATGATAACAAACGGACTCTTAATTATTAAATGCTTTGGATGGTGGAAAGTCTATTATGCATAATCTTATCCGAATTAGAAGACTTGTGTACGAATACAAATTTCTTCATTTATTTCATAGGATCGGTGAATGGTTTTTGTTTGGGAATCTGGAACAGTTTATCATTAAATTTTTTAAAGTTTAAGAGAGAATGTCTCTTAAATTATAAAAGAGGCATTAAAATCTATTTACAATCATATAGTTTCAGAAAACCAGAAATATTTTTCCGTATGCCTTGAACATTAATACTGTTTGAAAACATTATCTATATATAGAGGCTTTCTTGGTGATTAAGTGATATAAGGAATGCAATCCTTTCAAGTTTCATGTGTTTATCTACTTTATTTTTCTTGTAAGAATCATCTTGTTCAATTTCCTTGCTTTATTTTCCATGTACAAAAATGAAGAAGCTTCTTTCTAGTCCTTTATTCTGAGGTGGGTGTTGTGTCTTTCTCATCTCTATTAAATAAATCATGGCACAAATATATTCATTTAAAAGAATGGGAGAACGTTATTTTCCCACCCAAGGTTTGGCGATGGACAATTTCTCTTTCTCACCCTCAAGTTTCAAAACGACACTTTCCCCCCACTGTCTGTTAACTTTAACTGAAGAAGGATAGAATGATAAATTCAAAAAACAGTAAAAGGGTAATTATGTCATTTTATATCTTCCATTTAAACTTAGAAAAAAAAAAAACCCCCCCTAAATTCAAACACTTTCTGCACCACCCCACCACCCCAAAATCCTCAACCCCCACCCCTACCAATGGCCGGAATCGCAGCCAACTTGGTGTGTTTCGACTGGAATCGCACTCGACTAGGTGCTATTGAGGCTGACCCCCACCAATTGGTCGAATCGCAACCAGCTTGGTGGGATTCGACCAGAATCACACCTAGCCTAGTGCGATTTCGGCCAAATCACATTCAGCCAATTCCAAACTCGGATCTAGTGTTATATTGTTGTTATTTAGGATAATGGGTTGCTTTTTGGTGTTAACCGGAGAGAAGGATGAAGTGTTAATAGTGAGGAGAGACATCTCGCCAACTTTGGGTTTGGAGACGGTGATCTACGAGTTGGCGGAGGAGAGAGAGTCTACGGTCGTAGGGAGACAACTGAAGGGAGTTGTTGTAGATGAAACTTGTGCGTTGAGCAAAGACATTGCCAAAAGTGAAGCCGTCGTTGATCCGTGTTATGCAACGGAAACATAAACTCTAACGCTAGCTTATTGAATATAATAATAACAAGTAGTAAAGCATAAATAAATTGCCAAAATTAAATGCAAAAATAAAGAATACCAGGAATTAACGAGGTTTGGTATTAAAACCTACGTCCTCGGGCGCTGCAAAATAAAACTCCACTATCTCCAAACAATATTACAAACTTTTGGGCAATACAACAAATACCCAAAACAAAGGGGAGATACAGCAAAATTTGCAAACTAAATGGTCTTTAAAGAAAAAACCCTAAACAAAAGAAGTATAATGGAATTACAACTTGGGATACAAATAACAATGATTTAGGTCCTTATATATAGGCCCCAAAAGTTTCCCACTTTTCATTTCCAAGCAGTGTGGGACAAACTAACATTTTGACCTATTACATATAAGTCCCTAAACCTTTTTCCATTATCACTTCTACCCCCATGTCATTTGCTAAATGAGCCATTTTCCAACAAATCTCCACCTTGGCGAATTAGCAAACCTTCAAAGTTTTGTATTCTTCTATCAAATTTTGCAACACCTTCAAATGCGCTAAAGCATAGCAAGCTCGCAGATGTTGATCAAGTTCAAACAATAAATGAACTTGACCTTGTCACTCCTGAAGTCAATATGTCTGTAGGATTATCTCTGGGCCAATCTTCTGGAGAATCATTTTCCCATTTTCAATATAATCCCACACAAAAACAAAACCAATTCTATAGTACATAAATATACAGTAGAAACCATTTCACAACTTACAAATGTCCTTTACCAGGATCATGCATATGCCTGCTCACCATACTAACTGCTTGTGAAATATCAGCCTTGTGTACCCATGACCCATCATACATTGATCAAATCGCTTGTACCACTGTCTTGGTGCTACTTCAAACTATATAGCGATTTCTTCAATCTGTAAACCCAATTTTCTTTCCAGCAACCCTATAATCATTCGGCTGAGTCTTGTAGATTTCCTCTTCCAAACTACCATGTGAAAATGCAATTTTCACATCCAATTGAACTAGTTCAAAATCAACGTGCCACCAGGTTAGCAAAATTAGAATGGAAGAATACTTTACCACAGGAGAAAACACTTCACTGTATAAATCTTCCATTTGAGCGTACCCTTTACACCAACCTAACCTTGTGCGAATATCTCTCTATTAGGAAATCCTTCTTCTTTGCATACACCCATTTGCACCCAATCGCTTCTTATTTAGGGATCGCATTTCATCATTCATGGCCGTTTCCATGATTAACAATTTGAACTCCTAACTCTTCTTTATAGTAGTAGAATATCATCACCTATGATGTGAAGTGCATAAGCCACCATCTTAGCGAAACGAGCAGGCTTGTGAATTTCTCTCTTGACTTATTGTATGCTCGATTCCTGTTGCTGATGAGATTCTTGGGTAATTCTCCTTTTCATCTATAATATCCACATTAGTCACCTCAGAATCACTTTCTTCTCGTGGACACTATTTGGTTCAACTGTTGTTTCAAACTCCACCTTTGCCAGTATGCTTCACACACATAGCCACAGTTTGAGCATTTCTGAATCTGCATCCTCCTATACGACTGCAGCTGTCGTTCCAATAACGGTACTACCATTATGATAATACAAGTTTCTCCTCGGTGCCTTTCATTACCACAAGGCGCCTGAAGAAACTTTTAGAATTCCATCTCGCATTCACAGTGAAGCCTTTAGATTCCAAGCTCCCAAAGAGATGAGATATTCTTTTTCAACTTCGGTACATACCAAACATCTGTCAGAGTTCTAGTCAACCATCATGATTCTTCAACCGAATTGAACCTATCCCATTTGTTTTACAAGCATCATCATTGCCCATAAAACAACTCCACCACTTTCTTCAAAATTAAAGAACCAGTCCTGGTGAGGACACATTTATAGTTCCTACCTGAATCCATAATCCACTCATTTGATCCAGAGGTGGATGGTAGGCTAACTAGACAGAAATCTGACTCATCCTCTTCACGCTCAACAACGCATGCATCAGAAGTAGATTTGCCCTCTTTCTTTTGCAACTTCGGACAATCTTTCTTCCAATGCCCATTCTCACGACAAAAGGCATATTGATCCCTATTGAGTTTTCCCTTTGAAAGAGATCTTCCTCTTCTCTCCTTCTTACGACTCTGATTTTGACTCCGCCCTCTTGCTACAAGTGCTTCTGCTGACTCATCTCTATTCTCCCTCTGATCCTTTTTCCGAATTTCATGATTGGACAGAGCAGAACAACTTCTTCAAAGGACAATTTTTCTTTCCCATGAAGAAGCGTAATACTAAGATGGTCCAACTCATCTGGAAGAGATCCAATCAACAACATAGGTTTATGTTCATCTTTGAATGTTTCATCCAAATTTAACAAATCAGCAATTAATCCGTTAAATGTATCAATATGACTACTGATATTTGAACCTGGTCTCAACTGAAGACGAAACAATCTTTTCATCAAATAGAGCCGATTCTCATTACTTCTTTTCATATATTTGTTTTCTGGCGCCTTCCATAATTTATTTGTAGACGTCTCTTTCATGAATGGATATTTCTGCTCTCTACAAAGACATGAGCGAATCATTCCAAAAGCTTTTACATTCAACCTCACGCAGTCTTTCTCATAGATATCTTCTGGTTTTTGCTCCTCCAGAACGATATCTAGATCTTGCTGATACAAGCTATCCATTACCTCACTCTGCCACAAGCCAAAATTATTTTGGCCATCAAATTTTTCAACATCAATTTTTGCATTTGAAACCGTTATCATCTTTATTGGTACGGATGGTGGTGCTTGCTTATTGGGAACTTTGTTTACCAAGTCAATTGAGTAAGGCATAAATGGCATCATTGTCCGAGGATTCAATAGCTAACCAACAAATCAACAATAGCCCTAGATAGTAGTAAGTTCTGAAATGATTAAATACGCACTAGGAAAATTTCCAGGAAACAATGGAGGGGTCACAAATGGTCCCACTTAAAATCTAGTCTCCTTAGACTTTTATCGTCTTTTTGACAGAATTTCCTAGACATGCATATAACCATACAAATAGCTACTCATTGTCCTAAACCTAGGCTCTGATACCACTTGTTATGCAATAGAAACATAAACTCTAACGCTAGCTTATTGAATATAATAATAACAAGTAGTAAAGTATAAATAAATTGCCAAAATTAAATGCAAAAATAAAGAATACCAGGAATTAACGAGGTTCGGTATTAAAACCTATGTCCTCGGGTGCTGCAAAAGAAAACTCCATTATCTTCAAACAATATTACAAACTTTTGGGCAATACAACAAATACCCAAAACAAAGGGGAGATACAACAAAACTTGCAAACTAAATGGTCTTTAAAGAAAGAACCCTAAACAAAAGAAGTATAATGGAATTACAACTTGGGATACAAATAACAATGATTTAGGTCCTTATATATAGGCCCCAAAAGTTTTCCACTTTTCATTCCCAAGCAATGTGGGACAAACTAACATTTTGGCCTATTACTATAAGTCCCTAAACCTTTTTCCATTATCACTTCTACCCCCATGTCATTTGCTAAATGGGCAATTTTTCCAACAATCTGCACCTTCATGTCAGAGCACGATGAGTATACGTGGTTGGTGTTGCCGCATTTGAT